AGGGTGGCTGAGTGTATCTCTTGGATCAGGCCGGGAACTGGGTTTGTAAGGCCCTGCTGGTGCCGTTTCCTCCTCTCAGCCTCAGCCGCTCTGCAGATCAATGAAGGACAGACACTGGACGAAAGAGAAAACCCTTTCAGACATGAAAACATCCCCAACCTGTATGAGTCACCTGTTTTTTAATAAAACTCAAACATTAAAATTGCACCTCCTATATTGTTTGTGCAATTACATTGCCAGCTTCTTGTCTTAGAAAAAAACAAACACAAGGACTGCCAGTCAGAAAGGCCCGTCTGGAAACTGACATATTGCTAATAAACATAGTGCTCTGAATGACACTGCACTGACAAATCTCTGTCTTTTTAGGTTTTTTTTAACATTAACATTTGTTCCTATAACCTTAACCATGTTGGCTCCTATGTTTTGTAATGCAAAGTGTCCTTTTAATTCAGGGGAACATTATACTTCATGTATTCAAGAATGAGTGACCAGCACATGTTTTTACAGAGGGAGAGGCTGAGCGAGTTTTGCAGTGGAGGTCGGCGTGTGAAGTGCAGAGGATTTATAAGACTTGGAGATACTCTTGTGCCTGGGAGTTGTGCACACTGCCTGCCTGCTGTGAGAAGGAAGGTCAGAACCCATGAGCAGTCGCTTTATTTTCATGTGATCTTCATGTCTAGAAATGCACAACAGATAATGAGGGGAAGTAGGTGTCTGGTCTGTCACTGTAGTGCTGAAATAACCTGTGATCCAAGTTTGATTATTTCAGATGATTTTCTAAATACATTTCTGCATGTATATTTGGAATTTGTGTTCTGGGAGTAGATCTGTCTTGCACACGGTGTATTTAAAAGATAAAGCAATCCAGGGAACATCTGAACGTGCCTTTCATTATGCAGTTCTGTAATATGAGAACTGACATTTTCAGTAATGGTGATGAAGACAGATCTAAAAGCTGTCTGAAATACTAATCTGAAAGGCACTAATATTTAAAATGCTGTGTGCTGTGTAGGAATTGGATTTTGGACTTTGAATCAAAGGTGCCCAAGCTGATCTGCGCTGTGACCCAATGCACTTTTTAAAACCAGTTGGCTTGTTTGAGAAACGTTGGCTTTTCTCTGCAGCGTTTTCCAACTTGCAAATTCCTTACAGCTATATGCCTTGTCAGAGAACATTAATTGTTTGTAATTCTTTCTCTCTATAAAATAAGTCTATACATTTGCAACGCGTTTGGTAATGTATCTAATTGCATTTGGTGATCTCTTGTAAGGGTGCTCATCGCACGCAGAATGTGGTGCGAGGTCTGAAGCACACATGCACAGCAATGCTAAATGTGTGCATCATTGTTAGTGTTTCTTCTGTTTAGATGGAAAATAAATCAAGACTGTCTCCTATATCACCTTTTGACTCCTTCTAGGTTCTTCGAGTGTAATCAGGTGCAAAGAGGTACATTTATTATTTCACTTACATCACGACTACATGAGTGAGACTCAGGTGCTGTGTTCTCCCAAAGTCCGGTCTGACGTAGAGCTTTACAACTTTGTTTGGAGTTTGGAGGGAAAAAAAGCACTGCACACCAACACCAAAACCTCATCCCAACCGTGAAGCCTGATGGAGGGAGCATCGCGGTTTGGGGCTGCTTTGCTGCCTCAGGGCCTGGACAGCTTGCTATCATAGAGGGAACAATGAATTCAAAATTGTATCAAGAAATTTGAAGGGAGAATGTCAGGGTAGCAGTTCGTCTCCTGAAGCTTAATAGACGTTGGGTGATGCAACAAGACAATGACCCGAAACACAGGAGTAAATCAACAACAGAATGGCTTAAACAGAGGAAAATTTGTGTTCTGGAGTGGCCAAGACCTCAACCCAATTAAGATGCTGTGGCATGACCTAAAGAGAGCTGTTCACCCAAGGAATCCCAGAAATATCAATGAACTGAAACAGTTTTGTAAGGAGGAATGGTCTAGAATTTTTCCAGCCTGGACTGTGAATGTTTAAATGATGTTTAATAATGACAAGAAGTACAGTTGTTTGTGTGTTATTAGTTTAAGCAGATTGTGTTTGGCTATTATTGTGACTTAGTTGAAGATCAGATCGCATTTTTATGATTAATGAATGCAGAGATCCAGGTAATTCCAAAGGGTTCACAAACTTTTTCTTGCAACTGTATCTACACATCTATGTGTTTGCGCCCCAGACCCTGGTGCAAGTCTTTGTAAAGAAAACAATGAATTGAACTAAAGTAGAGAATTATCCGTGTGGAAACAGAACCCAATGGTTTGAATAAAAGCTAATTACGTATGTCCTATTAGAAATCTTTATTTTCATCAAGATCAAGTAACAGCAGTAATGGAAGCAGAGCTTGTGATGTATGTGCTCTGATACTTCATATCCCTTTTGATAAAGCTCCTCAAGAAAGAAGTTCTCAGATTGTAATTAGTAGTCATTAAAGTTAATATACAGTATAACTGGATTGAAAACTGAATAATGGGCAGAAAATGTAAGATGTGAAAGTACTGTATATAATTAGTGGTAGCTCTTCCACCAAATTAAGCAATGCATTAGTACAACCTACCTTGTTTACAATACTTGATACAGTTGTGGGTACAAAAAAATGTATTTTGCTGCTCTGTCCAGATAAGAGCATCAAGATACATTTGCGATTTCTGCTTCCTCCTTGTCTCACTATAACTGGAGGAACCTGTTACATACAGGTTCATTAAGTACATTATTCAGCAAAACAGACATAGCTTATTACAGCAAATACTTTGAACTTAAAACTTCTTTCTGAAAAGAATTACCAGGTGTGTTTTACATTAATGCTCGGCTTTTGCTCACAATGAGACAAGAAAGGGAAATGAATGGCCCTGCAGATAAGGATTTAGAATGAGACTCCACAAGTAAGGAAAGCCAAAACAATCTGAACCGACAAACACCAATCCGGACCAATCCCTCATCCACAACACCACATTGGAGAGGCAGGTGACTCGCCGTTATGTTGAATTCTACTACCGGAAAACAAGAGAAATTGGAAACTCCGACAGCCCAGCCTCACAGTGTCCAAGCTCCAGGCAGCACAGAGAGACGGCGCAGGAGGGCAGGGGGGTCCCGCAGGAGGGCAGGGGGGTCCCCACGGATGTAGACGACGGCGGCAGAGAGCAGCAGGGCAGCGGCCGACACCTTGAGCGCCAGCGCCAGGCCGGGGCCCCGGGGCCGGTGTGGGGCCCGGCGCGTCCTCAGCGGCTCTTCCACTCGCTCCCACTGCGTGAGGATGGAGCTGCGAGCCCCGGCCCACTGGCCCGGCCCAGACAGCCGGTACTGGTACGGGGTGCAGGGGCCCAGCAGCACACTCAGCCCCAGGCGGGGGTCCCGCAGCAGCAGCCCCATCAGGCTGGGCCGCGCCCCGATCTGCGCGGCCAGGCTGTCCAGGTAGGGGATGTAGTCCACCTGGAAGGGGCCGCGCTCTGAGCAGGTGTACCTGTGTGGGGGAACAGCAGCATTAGAACAGAGAACTGCTTCTGACTGGGTCTCGTCTCCTCACGGCAGACTTACTTTTGCTCCATTTCCCTTACTGTCTTCTCAATGTCCTCAAGCATGGTCTTCTCTGGAGGCAGCTTTACTAATCCTAGAACAAACCCATGAAAACACGCATTTATCCCTCCTTAAGAATTCCTTTCCTGTTCATGTCCTCACACTGACACAAATGTAGAGTCCAGTTTTAACAAATAAGGACATTTACAAATGAGGCTATCCCAGCAGTGTAGCCTGTATTTCATCCAGATGTTTCTGAAAAGAAACCAGGATATCGATGCCTTTGAGGATTTTGAAAACTTGAATTGGGTCCCCTCATAATCTCCTCTATTCAAGACTAAAACTGAAATGTTTTTCTTCAGCCTGTCAGGATGCTTCATTCCCATAAGCCCTGGAATGTATCTGGCTGCTCTTCTCTGGGCAGCAGAGAAGTCCAGAGCAGCAACATCTTTTCTTTCATGTTGTGACTAAAGTTGTACAGCAAGTTGTTTTCTTGAACTTATTTCTTTCGCTTCTGCGATACATCAATGTATGGCTTCAGGTGAGATTAGTGGTGGGTTGCATAAAATGCAAACTTCTGTGAAAATTTCTTAATTTCTGCTGCTTTGTGAAACATCTCTATAAACCTGAGAAAACACTCCAGTAAGGTCAACAGCCAGATTAATGTCTTTATTTCACACTTGAGCTACTGTATTCAGTGCTCTGCTGCAGCCTGGCCAGGACTTACCTGCGAAGACTCTTGTAGCCCATCGTGCCTGCATCTCGGACAAGGGTATAATGGCTTCCGTGGTATTAAGGCACCCCACTACAGCAAGAGTGGGGTGCTCCAGCCTGGGAGGAAAGACGTGCTTGTACAGAGCCGGTCGGAGCCCCCTCTGGTGGGAAACCAGAGAGGCAGGGAGGAAGGGGAACTCATAGCTGTAACCTGTGGCAAAGATCACAGAGTCGATCTCTGTCTCCACCGTCCCGTCCTCAAACACCAAGCTGGAGCCCCTGAACTCGCGCACGTTGGGCTTCAC